TAGCGCATTATGAAAGAAAGTTGGCATGCAGGTAAGCGACTTTCAACTTCACTAGGTCATATAGCGACCACTGTAAGTAAATTGAGGTGAACGTAACGTTAACGTTAACGTAAAGGGATACGGTCACTACAAGGATTCATGCCCGGCGGGATTCAACCCGCAGCCCTTAGACATGAGCAGCTATGCTACTTCAGCTTTAGTTACCTCGGCCATTCGGAACGTGTTTTTTTTTTTTTTTTTTTTTTTTTGTTTTTTTGTTTTTTTTTGTCCAACACATCCTGCCCTTCTTGGCATTGAGCGTAATCTGGCGAAGACTAATTACGCTTTTTATCATTTTGGTCGTCATGTCGCAGTAGTTGCTTTATTATCCCTTCACGAGGTTTCGGCTCCCATTAACCAAGTTCATCGGATGACCATTCAGAATGCGTTGGGGGGTTTTCGAGTTACGTAAAACTTCGGATCACGAGCGTAGGTGAACATTCGCAAAATAACACCGTTCCCACCACACTCACTCGTTAATAAAGAAAATAAAAAAAGCAAATAAATAAGTACGTTAAATAACAAGTAAATAAATGCAAAAATATCACGAAAAAAACAAACGTATTATTTGTAAAGCAATAGATGCTTCTGGCAGAAGCAAGGGAAAATAAGAGTAGAGCAGTACATTCATTCAAACATTCTTCATGTTTTTGTTCTTTCGTCTCTTTTAAAGAAAGGCAAACAAATGGGCGACAAAAATCTCATTTAACATGACTTTTGGGACTGCAACTTAAGAGTAAACTTATATTTACGGAATATACAGAATATTTTTTTGAATATTCCAATCCTTATACACCGAGAAGATAGTAATTTACAAAAATCTTTAAATAAGATAAAAAAATTACATCATCTACTATGTGGATGGAAAACTACGTTTCTTGACATACCTTCTCAATTTCAAAATATACAACCGTGTTGTACACAAAAGTTCTCAGCTCTTGTGCGCCGAGCGGATGGCCAATTGTCTTATATTCTTAAGCGTTAGATTTCCAACTGTCCTTCGTTCACTGCTGAGGGAGCAAACACGAGAAAACTGCACAAGTTCAGCAGCCCACAGAACGATAAAATATGCCTAAAGGAGCCAAGAAAAATATTGCATTAAGCTTATGTATATACACACCTTTGTGCTAATAACGTTTTGATGTTAGAGTAGCTCTCTTTAGAGAACGCTTCAAATTATTTGTAATATTATGACATTTTCTTAAATAAAATTCTTCCACAAACTTATTACACTACCATCAATTCACTACTTCTTAGAGTCCTTCCGGTGGGTATTTTCATGTTAAAATGTTTTATTGCGCTTTGTTTCATAATAAATAAATAAATTTAAACATTTTACAGTCTTCTGCCTCGACTTTAATTAAGCCCAGAAATTCATGAAAATGGCTTGTCTATTTCTGTGTAAAGAAGTTACATGAAAAGTACCGATTAAATAATTGTTTAAATGTAGTTTCAACAAAAAAATTTTATTAATAATCGTAAATATGATGAATCAATCATAACATTCACCTAAATTGGGAAAGAATATATTGTAATAAATTCACTACATGTACTCGTAAGTAAATCAAAAACAAAAAAAACACGTTTTTCTAAAACATCTTCAGAATGGCTATAAAAAACCTTGCTAAGAATGTGACAATCATTTGATTGTCGCGATAAAGGCGAGATATCATTCTATAAACTAGCGTAACTCCCCACAAGCGTTAGTTGTAAGCATTAGAGGTCCATGTGACCCCCACGTTAATTTCTATTATTGAGTATTTACCGGGCAATTTTCCTTGAACGATGTATTGTTACG